TGTTCCCATTTTCTTGTGGTCAGATGTCTCGTGTCACTGTTTTCCGAGTGATGCCATCGCTTTAACCAAAAGACCACAACTATCCAAAGCACACTCCCAAAAATTACTCAACTCCATTGAGTCTGAAAACTGAAATTGCCTTAAGCCATGTTGGGGTGAATGTTGATTTTAGGGCCTCGGACTAGGTTTTTTTGGGGGGTGAATAGTTCCTTTTATAAGAGACTCCTATTTTCTTTACTTCCAACTATCTGCAGATGGAAAAAAAAAAAAAATAATGTATTTATTTCCAAGAAGCTCATTTCCAAGTTGACTGAAATCTTTTTTATCAGGCTAAAAGCATAATGATGGGAGGAATTTGTTTGCACAGCTTCTTTGAGGGGTCCCCATGGGAAATAAAGGCTTCACCACAGTTAACAATGTCCTGGTAGGGGAACTGTATTTTACTGCATATGAGCTGCTCAGCTTGAACTGAAAACATGGATTTACATTTTCAAACTGAAACAAACCCCCTGCTTTTTAAAATCAGTCTCTTGGTCATGCTCCCTGGGAGCCCAGGTATTTCTATCCACTGCTGACAGCATATCAGTAATTCTATTTCACTTCTGCCATGCTTGGGCAATACCACAGGAGCAACACTTAGCTGTTAGAGGATACGCTGTAAATAAGTGTAAATAAATGTAAAATGGATAGATTACACTGTATCAAATCTGGGCGACCCTCTGGAAAGGTTTAAGTCCTGCTGTCAGATGGCAGAACCAGAATTCAACAGTTATACCTGAATTCATGTGCAAACCATACAACCAGGAGGTGCCCCAGCAAGCACAAAACCTGTCTGCAGGACCTAAGAGCCCAGAGCAAGCAATCCCTCAGTGTGCTGAGTAAAGGGGTGCTCCTGAAATTCACACAGATCCAAGGGCAAAAGCCTGCAGGCAGTTCATAGGATGAAGAGTATTTTCTGCTGCTGCTAAGTTCAGGAGGAGCTCTTTCTGCCTTTTAGAAGCTGTGATGACCTCAAAGGATTATCAACTGAACAACTGAGTGGGGGTGGAAGGAGTCACACCATCGTAATCTTTGTCCGGGATCATGCCTGCCACTAAAAAGCCTCAAGATTCTTCCCCCTCAACAGAGGTAAGAACAAATTGCTTAAACAATTGGGTTCTAAACTCAAAATAAAGCCCCTCCTGTCCTTATATGTTAGGTGTAAAATACCAGAAGCAGTGAGTCTACCACCAGCTGCTCACTTTTTGGGAATTATATGTCCAGGAGTCCCACTAAGCAAGGTGACTTAAACTACAGTCCCTGCAGTGCCATCAATGATCTCAGAAAAGGTAAGCTGGCACCTGAAACTGAAAAACAGAGAAATGATGGCCAAACACTCGGATTTCAGAGCCAAGCCATTCTATTTGCCAAGGTAATGCCTGAGTAATACAAACACATTCCTTTTATCTATCAACAGTGTGTGAGTGCGTTCACGCTCTGATTCCCAGCAGTGGGCACAGGTGAAGAACCTCTAACCCTGTGGAAGGGAAACAAAAAGACCTAAGGGTTCCTGAATGTTCAAGTTAGCTGAAGGTGCAGGAAGGCAGGCAGGAAGATACTGAGCACCATCTGCTATAGATCATTATTTTAAATGTGAATTTTCACATCTCAAAAGGCATTAAAGAAACGAGCACACAGCACACACAGATGTGTGTCACGATAGAGCTGGCAAAACAGGGTGGGGACTCTCCATGTCACAAGCTGAACAACAGGACACTTCTTACACTGGTATTATTTTCAAGGGCATACAGGCTGGAAACATTTAAAACCTTGAGAAACACACAGGGAAATTGAAGGAAATAAAACATCTGATAGATACAAAACGTACTTTGCACAAAACTGTAGCTTGAAGTCTGGTTACTGCCTCCAGCAAATATGTTTGAACTTCATGACAGAGCTGGATCCACAGGAGGATTCACAGCATCTCATCATAGCCAGGGAATAATATGAAACATAGTGGTATAGGTAAAAAAAAACCAACATGTATAAGACATAATGAAGATGAGAGGATATCAGCAGTATATACCCTTGACATTTTACAGATCAGAACACAAATCATTCCTAATCAAAACTCTGGAGGAAATAATACTGCTCCTTCAGAAACTGGCCATGTTAAATGGTTTCTAGGCCATGATAAAAGTTCACCTTACATTTGTGTCTGGGACACATGCTCCAAAGTAATTCTAATGCACGTAAGAGAAGTCCTCACTCGTTGAAGTGAGACACCCCTTGTTTAATTGTCTTGTAGCTCTCCTCGGCCTGCTGCCAGTCAATGGCTCCCACTACAGGTGCCAAGCCAAATAAATACCTGCTGTGGAAAGGCACACAGCCAGAGTCTGCAACAAAGGAGCCAAATCACTTCCTGCAAGTGATGAATTAAGGACTGGATAACTTGAAGGTGATAGAGCCATGGGTTTATTCTCTTCATGTACCTACTCAGGGCCTGCCTGAGCTGGGACTGCTTTCTGTGTCCCGGTAACCCCGAGACCCACGCTAAGGACATGGAGATTTGACAGAATCACAGAATCCTGGTGTATCCTCACACAGCAGCTTCTGCTAAAGACGTGGGTGACTTGAATGGGAACTTCAGTGAGGCAAATACAAACACTGTGGTGAGTTCTGTCCCGGCTACACTGACACCACCACTCGCAATAACTAATTTAAACTTAGTTCAAGAGGATCTTCAAGGTCCCCTTCCAATCCAAACCATTCCATGATTGGAATCTGTACCACCTGCACCCAGTGCATGGCAAACTTTTCCATAATGAAAGAGATAGGGCGGTGGGCAGGGAAAAACTCAACTATCCAAAGTGATGCTGTCTGCTCCCTGTCTTTTCCATACTTGCTAAAGGAATTTTGACAGAGGTGGTGAAGGGAGACAGGGAAAACGGTGCAATTCAAGAGAGTTGCTCCCCAGCTCAGCCTTGCTGCTGCTGTCATCTGGACCAAAGAGACCTCACTCACATTCCCACAGGAGGGAGCTAGGTGCAGTCTGAAGTCTGCAGGTACAAAGCCTTGCCTAGGCAGATGGTCTTGCATGTTGAAATAGTCCCAGAGACTCCCATTTCCCTTGTTCCAGGCCTGCTTGTGCAAGTACTGACTCAGAGGACCAGGCTCTGCACCATCTGCTGTGCTGCAGGGTGTCCATGGCCTGGCTGCTGCTCTTCTTGGCGCATGGCTCTGAGGGAGAGCTGGCCACAGAGTTTCACACATTGCTGCTCCATGTCTAAAAACAGTCTCACACTCCAGGCCCCAGGAGACCTGTGGAATTTCCTCAGCAGTAACCGCTGTGGAATGAGTCTGATGGGTCAGTTCTAGCCAGCAGTCATGGAAGCTTAAAGCCAGGAGCTGTCACGTAAACTGTCCTTACTCATGTGTCCTGTCCAAGCACAGAGTGTGATCTGAGTGTGCAGGAGTGACAATGAGTGATCTGCTCCCCACATCCATTCAGAGCTGGATCTGCCAGCCACAGCTGCAATGACCTGGAGCAGATTATCTGTGCATCATCCCACGTGCTTATTGCCTCAGCTTGCTGCAGCTGGGCAGATCCTTCTCCCTGCAAGGAACATGGAACTTCCTTGGGACCACCATATGGGGATTGTGCAGTCCAAGGCTTGTGTGGCTGTAACACGGAGGGAATGGTGATTCTACCTCCATGATCTCAAGGGATCCCAGTGAAGGTCTCTAACCAGTGCCTGCCCCTAAGCTGACCATGTAACTTCCTCTTAAGACCGAGTTAAAAGCCATCTGCTTCCAAGGATGCTGTTAGCAAGCTGCATCTGGAAAGGGGTCCAAATTAGTCATTAGATATTTCCTGATAACATGGGGCAATCACCATTTGCTTGTGACATGCAATCTCCCCCAGGGCTGATCTGAGGGACCAAGCCAGCAGCTGCATGAAGCAGCTGAGCTGTAGGTGATGGAGCCCAGGAAGGAGAGTCTTTATGTCCTTTCAGCTTGCAATCTACCTAATCCCTTGCCATGACTGCTTTTCATGCTGTACCTTATCTGTTTGGTTTTGTTTTCAGACAGCACATCTAATCTAATCTGCATTCAGGCAGATGAAGGAAGAGACACAGCAGCCCGACCCTGGAACAAATTAATTTGCTGAATCCCACTCATGTTCACAAACATCTGTGGAGGAAAACAGATCGGCTACAAAAACTCCAAACAATCCCCAAAGCAAGACAAATAAAGTGAAATATTATATTTCTTACTAAAAATTAATACAAAAGAAAGTGTGCTGACCATAACTGATCTAAACCCATATGTAACTAAAGTTTAGAAAACCTGCATCTCATGTTCATTAGAAGTTCACAGTAAACTGCTATTTTGCTCCTTTATAACAGGGTTTAGCAAAATGCCTGGACAGAAATGAAGAAAAAGAGTGACCTATGTGTGCAGAGGAGTGGATCAGAAGGCTTTCAGTAGTGCAGTGTAGGTATGGAAACCTGAGGGTCTTCTAGTTGCGGGAAAAAAAAGAGATTTCTGGGTTTCAAAAGCTGGGTGAAGAAAGGGGTGCTCAGGGGAGCAATGCCCACTGAATAAGAGAGCGTGGCGGCACACGGTCAGGCAGCAAGGCAAGCTCCAGAACCAAATTCCAAACTCCCCTTTGGCTCAACGCCCTGTACCCCGAAAGCTAACGGAGAACCCTCACAGAAAAGCCTCAGCTCCTTTCAGAGAATGGGGTCCCAGCGGATCCTGGGCGATTCTCGGGATGGAGCAGTACCACGCTTCCCTCGCTCCCAGAAGGATCCGCTGTGCCGGGAGCGGCCGCTCCTCTCTCCCCGCCCTGCTCCTTTAGCGCCGCACACCCACCGATGGCAAGGGGCCAAAGGAGCTCTGCCCGCCGGCTCCACTCCGGGAAATTCCGCCGCAGCTCCCGGTAGGGAATAAAAGCACGGGAGGGAAAGGGGGCCGTCCCGCCGCTTCTGCACCCTTGTCCGCCGCCAGCACCAGCCATGAACCCGCGCCTCCGCATCCTCCTCCTCCTGGCCGCCGCCGCTCTATGCCAGGGTAAGCGGCCGAGCCGGGCCTCGCAAGGGTGCCTGAGGGGCCGGGAGGGTCGGGGGGTTCCGGGGCCGACTCTTAGAGGGCTCCTGCCGCCTGCCAGGTGCTCCGCTGGCCGGGGAGCTGCGCTGCCGCTGCCCGCGGACCGTGTCCGAGGTGATCC